TGCCAGAAACGTATTTGAAATTGTCCACTTAGTTTTCTTATATCTCTTTGTGTGTAGACCCACATTAAGGTGCATTACTGCTTGCGCACTATGGTGACGTAAGGTCTAGAGTGACTATATCTTGAATATACAAAAAGAAAAAACTAATCCACAGTGCCCTTTTTTCAACAATTTTTTTTTTAATATTTCCCTAGCGCCCAACTTCCTTGAAACAACTCAGCCTACACAACTAATTAAGCATTTGGCTTTCAACAATACCTTTTTTCTAAAATTTCTTAGATTTCCTTCACTTCCATAATTTCAAAGAAATTGATTAGGATGGACCACCATCCAAATCCTTTCTGTCTTCCATTCAATTTCTTTTTGTGCAATTAATGACCATTGCAATGAAAGCCAAAATGTACCTAAATGTGTTTGCCCTACAAACTGCGGCAACATTCTTGGCACCAGAAGCAACGTAGTGGCACCCTCTCATAACCCCACACCATATAACTCACGAAAGTTCAAAAAATATTCTGTCCGGTAACTTTTTCAAATTGAAGCAAAACCACCATGCTGTCTTTGCTCCTTCCCCGTCTCGACAAAGCTGAGCTGCACAAACTCCCTCTACTTCCAAAAAAGAATCATCTTTTAACAGAATAAGGGACACCTCCAATAACACATTTTTAGTTGGCCGCATGATACATTTTTAAGACGTAATTGGAGAAAGATAAAATTACTTTTTTTTTAAGTGCTTTTTCCTTGTTTCGTTGTCCTACATTCAATTATCACAATTCCTCTTTTACATACCCTGCAATCCTTTACGCCCCCAGTTCCATTTTTTGACAAACTTCCGGAATAAATGATTATCACTGAATACACGATTGTTTTTCCCATCTATTTCCTACCACCTTCATCCCTACAACAAATGGCCCTTCATCAGTTTCATCTGATTTTCCTTTATTCCTTTTTTTTACCCCCTTCCACCTCATCACTTCCACTTGTTCAAAATTCAAAATTTCAAGCAAAGGACAAGGAAGGGTATCTAATATTCAAACAAAACACTATACTTTTCGAAATGGCGCGCCTTCCATCCTCTACCAGAGCACCCGTCTCTGCGCCTCTCCTCAGGAGCAAACCCTCCTTATGGGGGTTTATGAGGATAAAGAAATCGGAAATTATCACAATGAAAGGGAACACTGCTGCCATCAACAGGGCGAGGGAGGTGGCCTGGCAGAATATCGCCGACAAGCTACATGCATAACTGACACAAAGATCATTCAATAGGTTGTATTATATAGGTTAAAAAAAATATCTCACATGAAAGGACAAACTGAATGTGTAGATAGGCTTTAACTCTGAAATTCACCAAATTTATTAATTTATTTTCGAAAGTGATACCTCATTTATCACCTGATTGCTCATTAAAGTTTTAGATAATTTGTGTAAATATTGGAATTTTTTTTTAAGTTTGATTTTGTCTATTGGAATGATCTATATTTTATATTTGTTTTTTTTTTTTTTTTTTTATTGCCCTTACCACCCTCTAGTTTATGTGTAAATGCAACTTTTTTTTTCAGAAGATGACAAAAAACAGATTAAACAGCAGAATTAGGGTTTATCCAAAAAGAAAAGCAAAAAAAAAAAAAATAGATACTAATTACAATAGTCAAATATATTGTATTTCATTAAGGAAAAAAAGAAAATGATAATAATCCAAATGACAACAAAAGAGATAACTCAACTTGAATAACAGTGAAATAAATGCAAAATTTAATGTAAATTAAATATTTAACATTGAGTGAATGAAGTATGTAAACAGAATAGGAAACGGGGAACAGTCCTTGTGTATCAATGGCAGATGTGTAAATGTTTATTGTGGAACATGGCTTTTACATATGCATAGATGGACACATAAACAGACAGACATATATAAAATTACGGACAGTAGGTTGATAACTAAATGTAAATGTTGTGTGTGTGTGTGTGTGTGTGTGTGTGTGTGCATTAACAGGCTAATTACGTGTGTTTATTTACATGTACAGCAGCATACAGGGTCTTCATAATACACCAAATATATTTATTTATATTATAGTTGATAGGTATAATAATTATAATCAAGGGAGAAGTTATTGTAGGAAATTGTTAAGGTAGCAACACTTATTTTTAGTAAGTAACGGGGAATTTAATTGATTTGACCCAAACTTTGGGACAGCAACAACAATCATTGATTATTATAATAATAATAACGATAATAACAATAATAATAATAATAATAATAACAATAATATCAATAATAAGAAGAAGAAGAAGAACAAAACAATAATTGCTATATCACTATTACATCCATAACAATAATAATAGAAAATTTAAGAATAATGAGAACAATTACAATAACATAGGGACATTAAAAAGTATTAAATATTAAGAAGGCACAGGCCTGAGATATACCAGAGCATGCCCCCCCAACCAGAACCCCATCCCGGACTTGACCCACATAGACCTAATTATGCCAATTAGGTCCCCTTCAGGAGTATTTTTTTTTTTTCCCTCTCCTATTTGGGGATGTGGTCTCAAGTATGTGTAGGGAGTGTTATTAAAAAGAGGAATGTGACGAGAAGACAACCAAAGGACACAGCCCTACCCCTATAAGCCCCACTACTGCCCCAGAGACTTTTGAACACTGGTAGGAATGTTTTTTTTTTTTTTGTATTGAAGATCTTATTTATATTTGAATAGTTCATGTTTTTTAATGAATTATATTTATGTTTCACATATTATTTTTAGGATCTAATTCTACATCAGAATCTGATGCGCTGCTTGTGACGACAGAAGGCTGCAGAGTTTGCGCAAAGATATGCAAATACGTCAACGCAACATCGTGCCGCTCTATCACTGATATCATAATACCACACTTCCCTTGCATGCAAATTCATACCAGAATTATCGTGAACGGTAATATGACACAGCCCTACTTGAAAACGCCTGGTTTGTCCGTGTGGCAGTATTCCTCCGAGGTCTCGGCTGTGACGTTACACGGGCTAATTACATACATTATTTACACTTCACTGCCAGCAGACTCACAGGGTAAACATGTCCAGAAGAACACCAAATCTTGGTCAAATAAACAAACACGCACGTACACAAGACGATGCATCAAACGCATCGTCTGACTGTGCAAACAAAGTACAATCTGATACCCTGTAATCTACCGAAATCCCATTGGGCCCCCAGCCCCCGGTTACCCTCCCTCTACTATAGACAAAATATACTTTATTGAACCCCGTGGGGAATTTGTCCTTAGCATTTGACCCATCCTGTTAGAGAGTGTTTAAGAGCATGTCAGTTCTGAAGCCAGAGCCGTGGTCAGGGACACTGGTAGGAGTGTTCCTACAGTGTATGTTTCAGGGTGGGGGAAAACACACACTAACACAGGAAGAACATGCACACTCAATGCAGAGAGGTCCTGGTTGCATGCTTATATTTCCTAACCAAGTTATGGTACCGCTCGCAGTCTGAGCCACACTTCAGCGAATCAGATTGTACGTAACTGGAATTGAAGAGCTTAAATACAAAACGCTACATCCATATTTATTGTTTTGAGAAAAATCAATTTTTTTTTAAGGAGTATTTTAATTGGAATCCAATAACTCCAAATCCTTTGATATGAACAGGTTATGACACAGACAATTGATGCGCGAAGTCATGGAAATCTAACTTTATTAGAACTTTTTAAAAATACAACCTTTAATTGATTTGTCTTCAAAACGCTCCATACACCCACTTTTCTGTAAAATGCTCCATATCCATGGAATTTGTCTTTGGTCACAAAATGCACTACAGTCCAATTATTGCAGGACCTAGTGCTTCAATTCTCAGTCTCAGCAATCTCCAGTGTGTGTTACATCACTTCATACCAAAATTAGTCATCTCTGTCACTATCATCACTACCATTCACCGGCCCACCTTGGGCATTCGCCATTCTTTGGTAGAATGCCCTAACATTCTCGTTCACACCAGTGCTGTCCATCAGCTTAAGCACATCGGTTTTCTTTGCCTCTGTCACACAACTGACCATAGGAAGAAATCTGGGCCTAAAGTTAGTACAGTTCTTGTCTGTGACACGGGATCTTTAGGTTTGTTTATGTCCAGGATAACTCAGCAATGCAGCATTTTGAGACACTTTGTTGTTGGAGGCGTAAAACTGACTGTTGCAATAAGCACCATCATCTGCAGTCCATGTAGCAGCCATGCATACATTTGGTTCATGCATGCACACATCTGATGGGATTTCTCCTCCCCCTCTGTGATGTATTCTCCCAGTTTTTTCACGCTGAGCAGAGGTGGACATTCCAGGGGTCAGAAAGTAAAAGTCTGGCCGTGTTTTACTTTCAGCCCTGAGCTCAGGCAGCTGATTTCCCTGATTAGTTCAACCTCTGGGCTGAAGGGTTGCTGTGATTATTAGGTCCAGGCGGATGCAACAAAATACTGAGAAGGACTTTTACTTTCTGGAGCTGGATTGTCCACTTCTGACGCAGAGTGTTCATTGGATTGCTCCTATGCTTTCTACCTACTGGTGACAGTTCAACAGGCTCCTCTATCTCATCAAAGTCATTCATTTCCACATTTAAAATGGACCAAAATAGATCGAACAGCCAGATGCAGCCTTTAATCCATAGGCGCAGCCATCTTGAAAAAAAACTATGTTGTAGAAAGCCTGTGATTGGCTGATTGGATATGGAGCGTTTTTTGCCAGCAACAATGGTTGGCATATGGTGCATTTTGCATTAGAAGGCCATTCTGAACATGCCTACTGCAAGGGATAAGGAGCATTTTCACTAAAAGCCTGTGTCTACTTGGATTTCTATAACCACAAGCATGGGAAAAGAGGTCTGAACACAATTTTGAGAAAATGGTGTATACAGCGTTTTGTGTATAAGCCCTTCCGTTGTAAGCCAATCAGACAGTAAATAACTGGAATTTTTTTCCCCTGAATTGCCTAGGAGAAATAAGCCAGTGTTCTGACCGCCTGAGGCTCGAACCCAGAACCTCCTGATTGCAAGGGAACAGTGTTAACCACTGCACCACCAACTGATAACAAAGAAAGCCGGGACTTGATTGGTTCATGTGAGAGGGGGCACGCCCACCTGAGGGAGGCAGTCGGGGCGGGACTCGAAGATGACGAGCAGTACGCCGATGGGCACGGTGATCTGCTCCAGCTCCAGGTTGTTGGCCACGCGGGTACGGCGGATGACCCGCCCCACACTGTCCTGGGACGACACGGCGATCTGGCGCAGGCCGATGGCCAGGCTGTTCAGCTTCGCCGAGGACAGGCTCAGCCTCTTCAGCAGGGGCGGGCTCAGCCTGCCTGCGGGCAAGTGGATAAACATAATGCAACAGGAGTGTGTGTGTACATCAACGCAGGCAAACAAATTAGCAGCTCCTGCACATCGATACAGGCACCTAGGTTAGCTTCTGGTTTATTAAATTGTACAAACTGGCAGGTTTGTGGTTTACTAAAACTCAACCAGTGATAACAGACAGCCCTGTGATGGAAATATCCTTCATTAGTATTTTTTTTACTTAAAATAACTGCACTGAGCAGCTAGTTTCCACAGCTTTCTTGCAGATAAATCCCCTGCCTGCATATCAGCAGCATAACCACTGATGTGCTCAAGCAGGATTGCACAATCAGGTGTTATTGACACTAATGCCGCACATATAATCAGTGACATGCCGTCGGAGGTCAGTTAGGGGAGGCAGAATCCTCACCGTTAAACAAACGATAACTCTATTACTTTGCTTGATTAGCAATCTGAGGATTGATTAACTAATTTACAAGACTAAACGGCAGAATGGCGTGCCAGTTCCATCCACAAAATTATTGCTCAGTGCTTCGAACTTAAAATGCTCACAAGACAGCAAGTTTGTTCATATTTGCTGAGAGGAAGCTAACGCAATGCCATTAACAAATATTAAAACCATTCTTATGCGGCGTTCAATGTGTGGTCAATATGTTTATGATAATATTTCCCCCCTGAAACACGTACTTTTTAATGCCATTTTTTAAAAAATAGGGAGTTTATTTTCAGTCTGCTTTCATAATCTGATAAACAAAAGATCGAAACAATATACGGAATTACCGAGAGTCTCGAGATTTTTTAAGATTTACTTCCTTGCAGTCTCGAATCAAAGCATAAAGGTAAATTAATCTTTTTGTCACTATTACCTCTTAATCATTACAGGCTTAATTGACCAGAAAAAAAGGCCAAATTGATTGATTGACAATCAGGCATAGAATGTGGAAACAGGTTGACAAAATCTAGCGATAAAAAGGAAAAGTCACTGCCTACCCTGACCGCACGTCCCCGCATATAATTACAGTAAGTTCATTCAATGCAGTTGAAAAATGTTGACAGACTACAAGATGGAAATGACCAACTTTGGAAATCTAAGTAATAGACATGAAGGATTTAGGAGGCTATGGTGATGACGATTTATGGTGCTTTCGCTACTTTGGCTTTTCGCTACTGCACTTTCTACACTGCACACTGCACTTTCGCTACTATGCCCAAGTCCGTTCGCTACTATGGAAAAATGCAAGTTAAGAACATAATTATTACTCAAGAATCAGTAGTAAAACAATAAAAACCATTTGCATAACAGCTGAGAATATTTTTTTGGGTTCTGACTCAATGCAGACAATCAAAGATCGAATCAGCAATAAACACCTTTGTTTGATTATAGTAGCGAACGGACTTGGACATGGTAGCGAAAGTGCAGTAGCGAAACAACCGGTTACCGCGAGAACACCTCGGACATGTTATTAGTCTTTCTCGGCAGAGGAAATTCAGTAAACAGAACAGAGCCCTTGGGAGCTGTGTGTAATGCAGCTGATTGGTGCACAATCCCAGCTGACGACCAATGGAGGATGTGTTCCTGTGGAACTGCGGAGCGAGACAAGAGACGATGCGAGTGGAGACGGCATGAGGGAATAATGACAGAGGAGGAAGAGAGAGCCAGGGTAACTGAGGAGTGCCCAGCTAGTCATGGCCACCGTGACACATTCTTCCCATAGCAAAGTTGCAATCATTCATATTGAGTCAGCTGTGCCCTTTATTTATATGAAATACATTTGTAACATTTTGTTCAATAAATTTAAGTCTACAGACTACAGTAATATTAAGTCTACACAGAGGGAAGCTGGTCATTAACCCCTTTGCCAGATATAGATGCTGGCATCCATAAATTCTGAAATTTAATTCCTAAATAATTCTGTAATTAAATCTCCAAATGTCTTGTTTCACTGGAATTATTTTCCAAAGTGTCGGGACATAAATACTGAGTTATAAAGCCTAAATAGGCTAATGCACAACAGGAAAAAATAATTGCTATCATTTGTATTCTGCGCAATGGGGTTAATCGATTCTGTCCACAGGTGAGTGAGCTAATTCTATCCCTCAAAAGACTCACAGGGATGCCGTGGCTTTGGAGGAAAGCCACCAATATCGTGAGAGATTTTGGCGTCATCTCTGGAGAGCAAGAAATAATAGATGGATTTCTTTCACTTTTGGCACAAGGCTAGAAGCGAACCTAGATCAGAAGTTCTTTGATAAACTGAGTGATTCAAGCCTTTTGTTTGAGCTATGGAAGCCCATATGGGCCAAAAAAATGCTCAAAAACATTACTTTCTCATTATAGCTGGCTTTTTTTTTTGGGGATCCTTCTCAAGACGAGCAGAAGAAAGATGCCATAAACAGCTCATCTCAGCTCGTCAATCAGGCCTGTGGTCCGGCCCCTTTGATCGTGTTGGGGAAGGGGATGGGGGGGTTGCTGAAGGGGACACATTTGTGCAAGGACACTCCCCCAGCCGACTGCTTGAGCTGAACTGCACCAAAAGCCAAGTTTGCTGGGGATTCAAAGTCCGATTTGCTGCCCAGAAGAAAAGGGGGGGGGCGTGTTTTCACTGCATGGTCAGGCACATTTGCACATTATTAGAGAAGTACTGTATGCATAATAGCATCTGCTTGACGCCAGTTGAGCATACGGTTGATAGCCAGATAAATGGCTGCTTTATCATCAGGAGGGTGAGCATGCGGCTTTTGCCCGTAACTTTGGGTGTTCTTGTTTTACCTGTAGTGAGAGCGAGGTCCAGGTCTCTCTTATTGGCATCCAGGATCTCATCCTTCTTCTCGGTCAGGAGGTCCGCCAGGCAGCAGATGATCTCACTTCTCTGCGTGGAGACAGAGCGACATGTTCGGCCAAACCCACCTCAACGAGTTCGGTTGTAACGCATCCAACTATCAATGGAGGCTTCTCTATCAGTCCTCCTTTGTTTTTCTCCACAAACATTTATTAAATCTACTTCAAACTTGGTAGTTGTATTGCTGAGATCCCAAGGAAGAGCAGTGTCGAGTGTGAAGTTGTTTGGCAAAGCAGTTATCAAGAAGAAAAAAAAAAAGCTGCAAGCAGTGATATGACGCAAGCAGCAATACTAGAGGCCCAACTGTGGGGTCTTTCATAACGGGTACTGCATTAGTGTCCCATAATGGACAAGTGCGACAAAGATTCACTTATCTTCACTGCAACATTCACTTCCAGCAAACTTCTGCTACGTTTCTGGCAACTTACCAATTGAATTTAGCTTCAACACCATGCTTAAATGTACTGTTTGTGAAGATACGACTCCTCACTTTGCCATTTTCAATTATTACATTTGGCAGCAAATGCTATCAGTCATCTCTTATGGAATTCCGTTACATCCATGATGACAACGATTGAAAAACAGGAAACACGACAATCCCTTCACTAGCACCCTTGTTCGCAAAAGCCAGAAGTTAAAAAGGATACTGCCCTTTAACACATTCCACAACAGCCATGATTCATGGTCTCTTCTGAAAGGTGGTCATTGGGATTTTCTTTTTAAAGACTCAATTAATCTGCTTCAATTCATGCAATGTCCCGGAGGTTAAAGGCTCAATGGAAGCAAGAGCCTTTTTAATTGCCAAAAAAAAAAAAATTTTGTTTCACTGTGATGAGGACGACTTCATTTCAGATTTCAGCAAACAGAGGGTAAGGACACCAAGACATCACCGTGATGGAGCTCCAATTGAGCCATGGCTGGACATTACTAGCAGGACAAGTAATGTGAACACACCACACGGTGTAATCACTACAGTTTCCTAAATCAGGCCGACGCGACGAGGATAGCAACAACCAGATGGCAGGCGCTCGTCTCTCCTCACCTGTTCGGGAAGAAGCGACGCCAGTGTTCGTCCGCCAGTTCGCGACATCTCCGCCTGCTGCTCGACGGTGGGACCTGCCGAGGGGGATGGGGTGGGGGTCAACAGAGCCGCTACCAAGGGAACCATCAACTCACCTCAGCAGGATTCAGAAACCTCAGTCCTGTGTTTAACTGTGCAGGACGCCTCCACTTCCAGCTGGGGATTTTTACCCCCAAATAATACACTTAACAAAAATATTAACGCCCCATTTGACACTTTTAAACTTTAATTAGCATTAAGGGTTTTACAGTATATTAAGTCATACACAATTCATTTTATTGTTCAATATGCAATAACAGTAATGAATATTACTGTTCATTAATGCAAGATAGTGGCGTATGGCAATCACAGATACTCGTAGACACGGTTGGGATCACGATGTGGACGACAAGCGTGTAGGTTGGCTTCTCTCAGGCGGTTCCGGACAGTTTGAGGTGTGATACGTCTGTTGTGCAGACCAACTGTTTCATCTGCTGTGCATGTTGCTGGTCTGAGGCGAACACGCAAGTGGAGAAACCGGAGGGTGAGGTCGATTTGCTGTGCTGCCAGTCTGTCTTAAACGAACTCTTAAACTGCCAGTTGTCCAGTAGTGAACACTCAGCTGTGCAGAAACCGCTCTGGTGGACATTCCTGCATCCAGCTTTCCTATGGCGCGTTCCCGCATGTTTTGCGACATTTGCGGCATGGTGACTTTTGATGAAATTTGACATTTTGGGGTGGCCTTTTATTGTCCCCAGTTTTAGGGAGTGTCTGAGTTCCGTTCAGGCTGTTTGAGCAGCGTCTGCACATGCCACACCTGTGTTGTGGGTG